AGCTCCATAGCACTAGGCTCTTTCTTAACTCTGCTCTAATACCCTTGGAGTATATTATTTAACCTAATCTCCTTTCCAAAAACTGGCTTTTCTTTTCTTTTTTTTTTTCATGGATTTCATTAAAGCAAAATAAAAATCTCAACTATATAGGTAAACAAGAGGTGTGTTAGTTCATTTTCCAGTGCTATAACAAAATATCTGAGGCCAGCTAATTTTGAAAAGAAAAAAATGTTCATTTAGATCATAATTTTGGAGGCTTAGATTTCAAGACTGGGAAAGCCCCATTTATTCAGTCTCCAAACAACAGATGATATCACAATGGTGGCAGGAGCCCATGTGAGGGGAGAGATTGTGTCTTAAAACAGGAAGCCAGAGAGTGATTTAGGGGTTGCATTCATTTTTATAACTCACTATTCTGAGAACTCAAGGAGTCCCTTGAAAGCTACATTAATTCCTTCTAAGAGTACATCTTCAATGACCTTAACAACCCCCACTAGGTCCACTTCTTAAAGGATCCATCATCTTCAAACACTACCACCTTGGGGACCCAGTCTCCAATACATTGGCCCTTGGGAGAAAAAATACACATTCAAATCATAACAAGAGGAAATTCAATGCTTTTGGATGGAAAAATTCTTACTGCAAGAGGCACATGACCAGCTTTAGAGATGTACCTCAGCCTTGTTTATTCAGAACTAGAATTATACAGAGGAAAAATGGAGCCAAAGATTCACCATCATCTTGAAACAGGATTTCCCAAATCCTTTCATATTTGCCTTTTATTCATTAAGGGTTGATATATGAAGCCCCAGTTCTAGTGTTTTTCTATGGGGTAGAAAGAGTGTCATTTCTTTTGTGTATGCTTTTGTGTATTCCTGTGTAGAACTAGGGCTTTGAGCATGCTAAGCACACAATCTATGAGATATGTACCCAGCCTAGAAAAGTGTCATTTCTGATTGAGAGAAACAGAAATGCCCCATGGTAGAGTGCTCTCACCTAGAGGAATTTTTACCCCCAGAAGACATTTGGTGATGCCTGGAATCATTTGGGGTTGTTGCAACTGGAGGCCTAGGTGCTAATGACATCTGGAAAGTAGAAGCAATGCAGCAAGCCTCATCTCCCTGAGGAGCCTTCCTCTGATTATTGCTGCAAGTCAGCAACAGTGTGTCACCCCATCTCTGGACTAAGCTACTAAAATAACTTTAGAGGATGATACTGATGGTTAGGTGACATGTGAATCCACGTTTCTTTCTCCAGAGAACAAGTTTTCTCTATTGGGTATGTTTTGCCTTCTCTTCAAAATGAGAGGACTACACTCAGGATTTCTCCTAGTCAGACAAAACAAATGAGACACTTGCTCATGCACATGTTGGTGAACAAGTCAGGATGGCAAGTCAACTGCACTTCAGGTGGCAGAGTGTCTGAAACTTGCCCCCAGTGGTGCCATGCTGGCATGGGAATTGAGATTAAGGTATCATCTAAAGGATGTCAAGTCTGCAGAGTGGCTACAGCCAGCCTCCTAGTCCCCCATCTCAATCATTTTCTCTCCTTTTATGCATGTGCCAAAAGCAACCACAATTTGTATTTTCCATATAGTTTCCCCCAACCCGGGTGTTGTGGTATATATACACAATTGATTTTTATTTGAAGAATGAAACCATGTCATTTGCAAGCAAATGGATGTGAGTAGAGAACATCATGGTAAATGAGATAAGTCAGACTCAGAAAGTCAAGGGTCATATGTTTTTTCTCATATGTAGAAAGAAAGTAGAGAGAAAAAAAAAAGGTTGGGATTAGAGATCTTATGATACTAGACAGGAGATCAATAGAATAGAGGAAGGGGATCAGGGAAAGGAAAGGTACTGGAGAACAAAACTGACCCAAATATACTGTTATATTGTGTGCATGTATAAATATGCAACAATGAATCTATTATGTATAATTATAATGCATCAAGAAAGAATTAAATAAAAGAAAAAATTCAAAAAACAAAATAAATTTAACTTGCTTTAAAAAGGGAGGATGAGGCTGGACATGAGGATACATGCCTGTAATCCCAGCAATTTGAGAGACGAGGCAGGAGGATAGCAAGTTCAAAGATAGCCTCCACAATTTAGTGAGGTCCTAAACAATTTAGTGAAACATTGTCTCAAAAAAAAATAGAAGGATGTGGCCCAGTGATTGAAGTGTTCCTGGATTCAATCCCTAGCATAAATAAATAAATGTTAAAAGGAGGTGAGCTGGGGAATGATGTTGGCCAAATTATATTGTTTTACTGAGTACATGTAGAATTATGTAGCAACAAATTCCAGCAATATGTACAATTACAATGCTCAATTTTTAAAAATATGGAAAAAAAAGGATGGTGAGGCCAGGCTCAGTGATATTCAGCTGTAATCCCCGTAACTGAGGAGGCTGAGGTACGAGGAGCACAAATTTTAAGGAGTTATAGCTCAATGATAAGTACTTACTAGTATGTGTGAGGCCCTGGGTTCAATCCCCACCCCCACAAAATAAAAATAAAATTGATATTTAGTATCCCTGTTCATTTTTTTTTCAGAATCTAGGTGGGAATATTCAATGCAATTAAATTTAGCTTATTTGTGCATCTCCTATATGCCTAAAATCAAGATAGAACATAAAGACACAATGAAAGGGCAAACACACTTCACCTAACTTGGGGACAAAAACTATTTTCTATAATTTGATCCAGTATTTCACCAAAGATGCTAACTTCTGGTTATTGGGGAAGAATCACCACTGCCATACAATCTTCTCCCCCTTAAACTTTCTTCCAGTGAATAACTTGGATGAGAGTGCATGGCAGGTCTGAGAGCTCTCCACATTGCCTAGAACCCTTGGTGGTCATGAAGATGGAGGACAGAAGACCTGGCACCAGTGATGAGCTATTTATTCCCTTTCATGTATATAATGTGTGCATCATCCCATGTCTTGTTTGCTTGCTGATAGGTGTTAAAGGGAGTAATATATTTTTATCTTTAGCCTCCCCCAGGCATAATCTTTACCCCAATTCACCTAAGGAACCCATTTATCTTTGAGAATATAAGAATTTGTTTCAAAAGTAATACAAGAAAAAGAGAAAAATAATAGTCTGTTTCTGTTATTTAGAACTTAGTGTTGTGCAGAATAGACTTGGGGTCCCAGATAGACATTGTCCCAAAAGATAACTTCCCAAATTCCTTTCTACCTTTTATAAATTTAGGGTTGATCTCTAAGGCCCCAGTTCCAGTGCTTTCCAATAGAGGAGCAAAAGTGTCATTTCTGGCCCAATCAGGTATGCCCCTCAGCAATGTGGACACTTGGAGGAGTTCTGATCCCCCGAGGATACTTAATGATATCTGATGAGACATTGTGGATTATCACAACTCCGGGGTGGGTGATTCTAGCATGTAATAAGTAGAGAGACTAGGGAGCCTGCTAAACATCCTACCATGATTAGGTCAATCCCCATCACAAAGAAGTATCTGGCCTCACAAGACTACGTAGTTGAGAGCCTGCTTTATGGCAAAGTTTGTCAAAGTGTGACCCCCTGCAGACCAGCAATATAAGAATCACTGCAAATTTGTTAGAAATACATATCCTCAGGCCCCCACCCCATACCAACCAAATCAAATTTCAGGGATGAGGACCAGAAATCAATGTTTTAACAAGCCTTCTAGGTGACTGTGAGGGTGTGCCGTAGTGTTAAGGTAAAAGATTATGATATGGGGAAACATGATACTTAGGGGCTCTCAGTAAAGGAGGGGAGAAGAAAGAAACAGAGGGAATTAAGATTTGTTCTGCTTTCTTAATGGGCTTCAGATGAGACAATGGAGTCAGCATGGAACATGAAGGAAACACCAAAGCAAGTAGCTCCTTACTTTTTTAAATATAAGGATAGCTGGCCACTAACATTTACAGATGTAGGTTAAAAGAGGATATGCATGATCTTAAGCTTCTGGGCTGACTAGGGTCTAGTGGCCTCTGTGCAACTGGCCTGACCCTGGCCCTCTTTTGAGGTCAGGGAGCTTCCAAGATCTGGCTGAGATTCCTTTTTGTCTTGGCTTGGTAGTCCCCTCGGTAGCCCTTAATATCATGCCAACTCACCTTTTGCAAGCTGCCCAGACAGCCTGTCAGCTATCCCACCATGTTGAATTTATAATGGTTTGAAAAACCAAACTCTGTAAGTCTACCCTCCTCCTGTACTGGGCCAAGCTGATTCACTCCAGGAGCTCAGATACTTCTCTCTGCCCTTTGTTATGGCTGAGAAGGGTTGGGACCATCCATAGGAGAACCCAGAGTAAGAGCAGGGAATCAAAAAGGACATTGAGTCAGGTACTAATGGTGGTAAGGAGAGGTTGACAGCCTCTAAGAACAACTGGTTTTTACCTGAGCATGGAATACCAATGGCATGGAAAGATCAATAAAAGGAAAACAGTGCATTTAAAACTCACAAAGCATATATATGAATTGCGTGTCATTTCCTGCATGCATTTGTATTTTATTTGACTTGTTGCTTTCAATTTATACTTATGAGATCAAGTATTCTAAGTATCTTCTCATTTTTTTCAACATTTTATTTGGTGGTCACTATAGCTTTTAAGGTGGCACTGGGTAGACTTATTTTGTAGTAAACATGAGAAACAGATGGGATAACTTAAGCCAGAAGTGTGGTATGCTGGAAGATCAGGAAGTGGATGGTAGACTCCAGGCAGCTGGAGCTGAATCGAGAAGCCAGGGTGGTTGTGGTGATCAAAGTGCCAGGATTGATGGGTTACTCACAGCCCCACTGCTCACATGACAGCTCAGTCCATTTACTACACACCACTTATGACTCAATACCCTGGAAAAGAAAATGTGGTTGGTCTATTGTATGTCACATGTGACCAATGGGGAGGAAGCACAGCTTGATTATTAGGTCCACAAAGACTCTACTGAAGGGAGAGTGGTTTGCCAAAAGTATATCTGGGGCTGAGGATATAGCCCAGGGGTGGACTCACTGCCAAACATGCACAAGACCCTGGGTTCCATGTCTAACATGCAAATAAAAAAGAAAGGGGGAAAAAAAACAAAGAAGGATACTGGGATCTAACTACCAACAAAAGGTACAAGGGAGGCTAGGGACCCAAAAAGTGGGCATTCTCTAGACATAAACATAGAACTTCTGCAATAGTTGGGCTTTGTATAATTAGTCCATACATTCCCTGCCTACAGCAACCAGAAAAAAATGTCTTGGAATTATGTAATATGGAAGCCTGAGAAAAAGCCCTAGGAAGCACAATATATCTCAGAAAAGATAAGTAAGAGGCATGTTTGGATTGGATCACAATAAGAAAAGGGACCCTGAAAATATAGTAGGAATGCTGGGAAAGGAGGCTAAGGGAATTGGGGTAAGGGTGTCAGAGAATGGAATTAATTAGTTCATCTTGAAACAGGAGGGCATGAATGGGGCTATGACAGGTACAAGAGAAAATATTATCCACTGTTTGCAGAGGCAGGCTTCAAGGTCCTAGGAGATAATGCACAGCCTGCCTTTTAAAAAATTCTCTATTACATCTAGAAGATCCAAAAAGCTCATTACCCTTCAGAATGCCATACTGAGGGACTAGGGATGTGGTTCAGGGTAGAGTACTTTTCTGGCATGCACAAGGCCCTCAGTTTTGTCCTCAGTACCACAAAAATAAACAAAGAGATTGCCATACCTAAATGAGATTCCATTTTAAACCCAACCTCTATGCCACTTTCCAATTCCTCAAACAAGATAATCTGCAAAAAACAAAACAAAACAAAAACAAAAATCCTGTGGGGGCAGTCATGAAATTCAAGCTTCATCTCAGAAGCAAGGCAGAAGAACTCAAAGGAAGTAGCCTGGTGGAGATGGGGCACCACGTGGGTTCACCTCATTTGTTCCAGTATGGAGCCAGGGTCCTGGAAGGTAGAGAGTTTCCTGGGGTCCTATACTCCAGTAGCATCCTAGGTTTTGTCCATTGATGAATACTACTCCTTTATTCCAGCCCTGAAAATCATGAGAATGCAGGATTCAGGTTATAAATTCTAGATGTAAAGACATAAGGGATGAACACACACATACAAACACACACACACACACCTCATACACCACTGACACACCAAATCACAGTATAGATATACCCAAACAGGGTGGAATACCAACTAAAATCTTATGTGGCAGGTAAATCCAGAGTCTTGTGATACTGTCTCTGATAGGGGATTAACTCAGCATCCAAGCCTCAGGGAGGCACTAATTTCTAATTCATCTCCCTGTGTCTGCCCCAAGCCAGGAGAGAGAATTTCCACTTATCATCAGGTACTCGTTAAAATATGCCAGGCTCAAAACAGCTAGAGTTGCAGAATTTCAGGTGTGGCAGCCAATATGTGCTGGCAACTCCTCAGATCTCTGTCATATTTGTTTACTTTCTAACCCTGCCTTACTTAACCCTGGGGGAGAGACAATCTCCCAGATGGCTGTAGAATAGCTGAGGTCTTTGGGAGCTTATATTCCCTCACACAGGGCAGGGACTATACACTAAATGAGCTTTGTTAAAAGGTTCTTAGGGGTGTGTAGCTGGATGGCACATTGGCAAGGGATAAATTGTACTAACCTCCAGTTGTATAAAGGTGTCTCTGGGATCACCACTGATTTTCAGGTAACCAAGGAAGAAGGCAGGGCCCTTAACTTTCTCTGTGATTGGCTTCCAGATTTGGGGGAGTTTCCTAAAAGGAAGTCAAATAGGATTGTCATACCTTTCTTCAGTCTTTTCCCTGAAATCTGGTGTCCCCCACTATGGCACTGGCTATGCCTTCAGCATGTATAATGCAGTAAGTCATGATTCCAGCTGCCTCCACACAGCTACAAAACATGGAATTATTTTCTTCAACATTCTGATTTCTGATTTCCTTATCTGAAAACTCAGAGGTGCATCTGGAGGAACTCTAAGGCTTCTTCCATATCTACATGCTCTCCATCTTTATCAATCACCTAGAATCAATGGTCAGGCACCTACCTTTTTATGAATACACTTTTCATTTCCAGGCTGTATATTGTAAATTTTCTTAATGGAGAATTGTTCAGATAAATATCCCCAGTTAAACCTATAGGATATTGGAAAAAAGGGGGACATAAAGGAGACTGGAAGGGTGCAGAGATATGTACAGACAATAACCAGGGATTCCAGCCCCATTGTAAGGTTTCCGTAAACTCCTACACACAATTTTTCTCCTGTGTCTGTCTGTCTGTCTGCCTGTCTCTCTTTTTTCTTGCAGTACTAGGGACTGAACCCAGGACCTCACAAATGCTAAGCAAGCACTCTACCCATGAGCTACATCTCTATCCCAAATCCTACATACATTTTTTCCTTCTAAGTATACATCTCTCCTAGATGGTGCCTGCCTCTTCCACATTTATTGCACAGAGGTCACAGCAACTCCTGCCAGGTCTGGCTGGCACAGGGCTTCAGACTAGTTGGAACATTCATTCATATCAAATCACTAAGGGTAGAAGGAAGGTGTGTGACTCGGCCTGGGAGTTCTGGGGTTCAGAGAAGGACATACACAGGTCTAGCCTCCTAGGAAGGAAGGGGCAAAATCCTGAGAGAGGACCCCTGGCCAGGGAGACCTCTATAGCTTTCTCCTGATGGAGCTACTTTTGAAATCCTCCCTGCCCCCCCCTCACCAAAAAAAATGCCCAGTGCTGGCTCTGCTTGGTAATTACAGAACACAAAGGAATCATCACAGTTTCTATACATAGGTGTCTCACAGCCAAAGAGCATGCTCTCTTCCAACCATATGCCTGTCTCCATCTGCTCTCAGTCCGGAGTGCTGCGGGTTCTCAGCATCTGCATCTGGAGCCCACCTTTTCTCTGCTGGTTCATGCTCTTCCCAGAGGAGAGTCGGCCTTGATTCTCCACCAAGATCCTTAGAATGTGGTATTCCTGGTGGTCCTGTGGAAGACAGACCCACCAGAGTGAATACTACTCAGGTACTATTCTGCATACCTGCTGGGCCTTCCCTAAAGCTGAGATGAGAACAAGGGCAGGGTGACTAACAGCTAGCAGAACCCTGTGGATCTCCAGCTCTAAGCCAGGCAAACCCTTGGGTTACTGCCCTTCCTTTTCATCCCCCCACTTTCTGGGCCAAGTCTTCTAGGGAGGAAAGAGGAACCCAAACACTTCATCTAAGATGCTATTGAAACCAGTGACCAACCTGCTTTTTGAGCAGAAAATATTCAAAATAAAAAATCTTTGCTCCCTCAAATCATATGTATCTGTACCTTAGAGATGTATACAACCTTCCCTTGTTCCTATTGGGTTCCTATGCAAGGATCAATCCAAAAGGCAGGGAAGGAGAAAATGTGCTATTATAGAGCAGACCACACATATAGTTGGGTACATGGCCTAGCAGGTGCTAGAATTATTTGTCAATTAGCATTTGGTTATATACATGTATCTGAATGGTTAGCTCATCTTTGGAATGATCCAGGATTCCCACGTGCTTGTCATCCAAAAACACCTGCCAAAGAAGAAGAAAGTACTGTTAGGTCCTCATAAGCAAAACAAACAAACAGACAAACAAACAAACAAACAAAAAAAAACCGGAAACAGACTTGAAAAGACAAACATCAGAAATAATGAATTTTGTCTCCCAGAAATCTATAAGCTGATCATAAGTTCACAAAAACAGATTATATGTAATGTAGAACAGTGTTGAGATGCTCGAGATGAGGTCTATTCAATAGTGTCCTGATATGGAATATGGGCCCTAGCTCCACTGCAGGATGTAGAGGGGGGAAAAAAATCAAAAAGATCTGAAGATTAGTGGGAAAATAAAGTAGATAACAAATCAGTATTGTGAGGGAAATGATGGCAAAGGGAGAGCAAGAGAATTAGAGAAACAGCAACTGTTCTGTCAGAGTGCCTTTCCCCAAGGGTTCAACTCTGCAATAGACCCAGTTTTGCCAGATGAACCAGATTCTTATCTAGAAATTCTAATCTGCTGCCATACTCTACCTGGTTTTAGAGATCATCTATTTCTTTTCTATTACCTATCATATTGTTCAGCCTTAGATTAATAAGTCAATCAGAAGAATCCACTGTAGCTATATAAGACCAAATAAGGACAAATAATTTTGCTTTTTATATTATTTAAATTAAAACCACAAATTTTCAAATGAGATTTGACTAGGAAGAACAATAAAAATTCACAAATATTAAAAACAAAAATATTAATGCTAAAAATGCATAATTCACATTTTAATCTTGGAGTTTAATTATAAGGTTTATATATCTTATGACCATTTATTGAACAACTACTGTTGAACTAAATATTTCCATAGGGAGGAGTTCATCTAGGTTAAAATAAAGCTGGCCATTGAGGAACCCAAGGAACTACACAAAGAAATGATCAGAACACAATGATAGTGGCAACCATGGAGACACTAAACTAGTGGACAGACTACTGTGGAACTAATGAGAAAGGAATGACAGATCCTAAACAGCAGCAGACCCCAAGCTACTTCACAGGCATGGTGATGGGTGAATCGTGGAATTAAAGAATGACTGTAAGAAGAGAAGTAGCCATGATGAGACTTTTACCTGAGAGAGAAAACACTGACAGCACTATGTGTTCAGCAAGGAAGAGGTCAGAGGATGAGAGCAAGCAGTCTGAAATAGTAAGAGATTGTGACATTCCAATAGGAGATGTGAAACACAAGAACAAGTCTAATGCAATAACAGTCTGTATATTAAAAGAACAACTGAATAATACTGAACCACACAGGGACCAGTTGAAAATAAGTAATAAAGAAAAGCAGTAAAGAGAACAAGAGAACAATATTTGTAGGTTGAGAGGATGTGAGTATATAAGCCAATATGAGGCTTAGTTAGGAAGATAGTGAGTTTTGCTTTGGATGTGATGAATTTGAAAATTATGGAACATACACTGTAAGGATAAATGTACAGGAAACAGTAAGAAATATGGTCTGTAGCTAAAGATAGGGAGAGGACGGCTGAAGACACAAAATAGAAGTAGAGGTTGAATATCCCTTGTCTGAAGTCTTGAGGACCTGAAGTGTTTCAGATTTTGGATTTTTTTTTTGCTGTTAATATTCATAGACTGTGCAAGTTGGACATACCTAATCCAAAAATCCAAAATCTGAAACTTTTTGAGCATCATATTGGCACTCAACAAGCTTTGAATTTCTGAGTACTTCAGAGTTTGGATTTTCTAACCTTGACCTATAATTGACCTATACTGGAAGCCGGGGAGGAAGATGATATGAAAAGTATGACAGCAAGAAAATTTCACAATGCTTAGAGAAAACAGCTCTTAACTTGAAGCCATGTGATGAAGGCTTCAGTTGCAGTTCTGCAGCTTTCTAGTTGAACAGCTTTTGAAAGTCATTTAGTTTCTCTGAGTATTATGGTTTGGGTCTGGAGTGTACCCCAAAGGCCCATTAACTAAAGTCTTGTCCCCCAATCTGCGGTGCTATTGGGAAGTAATAGAAAATGTAGGAGATAGGAGCTAGTGGAAGTTAGGACATTTGGGATTACCTCTTCTGCCCTCTCTATTTGCCTCCTGGTCACCATAAGGTGAGCAGCTTTCTTCCACCATATGTGTCTGCCATGATGTTCTTCCTTACTACAGGCACAAAGCAACAGAGCCAGGCAACATGGACTGAATCTTTTGAAACTAAAATAAATCTTTCTCCCTTTTAAGCCCATTTTCTCATGTATACATTCATGGCAAAATAAATCTAACATGCTGAGGTTTCCTTGTTTGTAACAAATGACTCAGTTGTTTTAAGAGTTGAATGAGAACAACAACTGTAATATGCAATGGGAATATTAAGGATTGATATAAAATAAGTATAGGGACTATGTAAGTTCTTTATAAAACACTATCAGAAGAAAAAAATCATTAAAAAAAATCATCAGCTCCTGTAAGTTTTAGTGGTACAATTCCCAGGGGTATCTGGGAATTGTATCTCAGACACACACTAGTCTATATATAAAAGATTTCAAGGAAGGAACAGATGCTAAGAAAGAGTTGAAGATTAAAATGGTTTACCCCACCATTTAGACATTCACCCTCAGGAACACAGTTTGTTAGTGATAACAGATGAGCATAACTAGAACCCCTTCATGGCACCCTACCTGACCCCGATCTTGAACATGGCCCTTTGAGGTGAGGATGCCATCACTGGAAATGGCAGTCTCATAAAGCGTGTACCCATAGGATTGACCACTTCCTTCATTCACAGATAGCTGTTCCATGGTGAGTGGCTTGACAGACTTGGTTGGCTGTCGCAAAGACAGGAAAAAAAAACAACAACAACAAACAAAAAAAACACAACAGGCTGAAGGTTCAGGCTGTAGAGAAAAATCTCAGAAACTGCCAAAGCCCAGTTCTCCAAAGGAATGACCCCCACAGCCTCGCAAACAGAACAATCCAAAAGGAATATGAGAGGATACTCATGTTTATGTGCAGCAAATAAATTATCCTTCTTGTTTATTAAACAAACCTCATATTTCTTTGCATTTACTAGCCAATGAGTTATTCTTATATTTTGAATGAAAGAGCTGCAGTCAAGAAGAGAGAGTGATTTGTGGGCCTTCCTCATTAATTCATGGTAGAGTCTGGACAAGACTTCTGGTCCCCAGAATTCCTACCCAGCTGTGCCAGATTATTTCTACTGTTGGCCTTCTCTTCTTTTCCCTTTTTGCATCTTTTAGGAGAGATCGTTCTAGCTCACACTTTAATTGTCCACATTTCTTCATAAAACTGCTTTTTCTAGTACTAATCTAGAGTGCTCCAAGGCTATTTACCCTCCTGTCTACTAGACTTCTCCATCTGGAGGTCCATGAATGTTTTCCATGCAATATTATCCAAATTGTAGGCACCATGACATATCTACACCCTGTTCTCTTTCCTTTAAAAAAGAGGATCACCATCCATCCAGTCAAAAATGCATAAAGCGTGGAGAGTGTCCTCTCTCTTTTTCTTCCTTCCTCTCCACATCCTATATATCAGCCAATCATCACCTACTTTAGAGTCTGACTTTAAATGTCTATTTCCCTAACCCTCCTTCTTCATACCTATCACCAAGCTCAAGTTCAGTATACTTCTATATGGTTTAAGTGTTCTAGCATGGTCCCACCCTAAGCTGTACCCCGCAGAACTATCAAATTCTTCTGACATGCAGAAGATACTCCTAGCTTTGCTATATTATGGATTCTCATAGCTTCCAGAGAAATTTTCAAACTTCTTAGCACACAGAAATGGCCCTATGGGGAGAGGAGATGAAAATGGGAAAGACAGTAAAATGAATTGGACATAACTTTCCTATGTTTATATATCAATACAAGAACAGTATAACTTCACATCATGTGCAACCACAAGAATGGGAAGTTAGGGGCTGGAGTTGGAGCTCACTGGTAGAGTGCTTGCCTGGCATATGTGAAGCACTGGGTTCAATTCTCAGCACCACATAGAAATAAGTAAATAAAAACAAAGGTCTGTAAACAACTAAAATATATTAAAAAAAGAATGGAAAGTTATACTCCATGTATGTATGATATGTCAAAATACATTCTACTATCATGTATAACTAAAAAAAAAATAAAAAAAGAAATGGCCCTTATGAACTTCTTAGAGAAATACTGATTATTCTAGGTCTCTGGAGCCATATAGTCTAAAACATCTAGAGGGACCAAAAAGCAAAGAAGATATCAAAAGCTATGAGAATCACATCAAGGGGACATAAAGCCAATTTGAAGGGCTCCTGCTGGGCTAGGATGGGATAGTTTGAGCATCAAAAAGAAATGCAATAGGGTGGAAAATTGGTAAATGTGTTTTTAAAAAATTATGAGTTTATAATCATACAAAGAACATTAGAAAAACAACTCACTTGCTAACTTTGGAGGATATGTAGGAAAAAATCATTTTTCTGATAAAAGAAAATACTTGAACTTTTGTCCTGATGTTTCTATTTAAACTACACTTCAGAATAAGATAATTGATGAAGAATTGAGTTCTTCTGTTATAAGAATTCAAGTGAGTAAATGCAGAAGGAATTTCAGAATTAGAATAATACCATTTTCAAGGCCTATAATGAAATATTGGTTTAATTTATCAAGACATGACTTTCATCTATTCCTTACTATTACCTCCCTATCCCTTACAGTATTATTTTAAAGCAGATAGCATAGGATTTCAAATAGTTCAATGAACATCTCAAAAAATTAGAACTCTTAAAAAAATACAAAATCATCATCACAACATGTAATAAATACAATTTATCACAAATGTAATAAATAAAATTCCCTAAATTTAGTGATTTTTCTGGAAAACATTTAGCAATTGTCTTTCTGGAAAAAAAAACACTGATTTGTGGTGTTTGCAATTTCTGTGGTGTAAATATTCCCACCAAAAGAAATTTTAATGCAATATTTGTCAATGGCTGATAAAATCTTTGGGTAGAAGGTCGATGGGAAAATGAAAATGAAGAAAGGAAACGTTACAACTCCTGAACCCACTGATCAATTATGAAACCAGAAACAACCAGCATTATGTGCCTAGAATACGATGCATAAAAAGTACAATAGCACCATTTACAAAGTATACTTGCAAACAGATTTAAAAAAAAAAACTAACTTAAATCCCATCAAGCATTTAGATCTAACTACCTATCAAACTGAGATATAGATAATGTGAGTCTAGAAACATGTTACTTGACATAGTGGTGATCTAATCGGCAAAACAAAACTCATAACGTAGGCAATTCTATAGTACAAATAATCAAACTTTTTCAACAAATAAAATAAAAATTAAAAAATCTTTAGATTAAAGGAGGCTAAAGAGACATATCAAATGATGTATAATAGACTTCATAGATGCTGACATGAAGAAATCAATGCTAAAAAAGAAGTTCAAGATAATTGAGAAATTCAAGTACTGGCTATTTTATTATTTTAAACTGTGGTGTGTTAGAGATAGCTTGTATGAGCTTGTTAAAACCACCCATGGATATACCTTCCCAGCTTGTGATCAGCATCATCATATTAGCAGTCTGAAATTAACCATGGTGGGAATATTTCCCCACCAGAAATCAGCAAACGCTATGAACCAGCTTTTAATTCCAAGCCAGTTGCTAAACATTTCCCAGAAAATCAATAATTCTAAGGAATTAATATTGTCATTATTATTAAGGATAATAATGATTTTGTTGCTTTTATTAAAAAAGAAACATCTTTTGGTATATATATTGAACTATTTATAGCTGGAGTTGGATAAGTCTGGGATCTGCTTTAAAATAACTTTGTAAAAGGTAAGGGGAGAGGAGGAGAGTATAGGTGAAATGAGATTGTATTGTATTGATAAACTTGAAGCTGGGTGTTAGGTGCATGGGGATTCCCTACTATTCTCTCTACTTTTTAAAAATGCCATCAAATTACACAAAAAAAACCACACATCACAGTGGGGCATGGTGGCATATGCCTGTAACCCCAGTGACTTGGAAAGCTGGGGCAGGAGAATTGCAAGTTCAAGTTCAATCTCAGAAACTTAATGAGAACTCGTCATAAACTTTTTAAAAAATTAAAAGGTCTAGGGATGTGAATCAGTGGTAAAGACATACTTTCAATTTCACTCACGTATACACACAAATCGAGACATAACTGCTGAATCCATATAGAATCTGATGAGGTAAGAACAATTAAGAGCCTTATTTTATAGATGAGGAAACTTAGGTAGAGTGAGGTTAAATGACCTCCCTAAGGTCTCATAGCCAGTGAATGTTGGAGCAAAGACTCAACTCAGTGACTCCAGTGTTTCTACTCTTTCGCACAGCATGTTCCCTTGACAACACTGTGCTGCCTCATTTCCTCTTCCATGTGACCTATGACCCTACAATCGCTTCTTCATTCACTTTTCTTACTCATTAGACTGGGAGTTGCCTAAAACATCATCTTAACAATATAGTTCCCAAAACATGAACATTCAATGAGTGTTATAGGAATTAGTATTCAGTTTTTCCCTAACTCATTTTTCTTTGATTTCTAATCAAAGAAAGGTTTCCTATCTGAATTGTAAAATTGGTAGAAGGAACCAACATCTTTAAGGATTCCTTTTTTTCCCTTATTCATTTACTCCATGTTATTTCAATTCTCTCTCTTTTTTCCAAAAATTTTTCCATGTGTCTATACCCAGGAAATGCTCACCAAGTCCAGGTAGGGAAGCAGGTTCCACAGTGTCATGAAGTATAATAGTGTCACTGACTTATAGGCATTCTTTGGTATGTAATTTAGTGGGAGGGGCATAGGAGCTGCTGCAATGAGAAAACACAAAGTTGGATCATTCCAGGACCCCCTCCCAACCCAAATCAAAGACACTAGATACCCTGCTATCCCAAAGCCATCAAGAATAAAGGGTCCAGTCACGGCATAACTTCCTAATTTCAGAAGAATCAAAGCAGGAAATGATTAAGTAAGGGTCCTCTCATACCTTTAAGCTCTGAGACAAGTGCCTTGCTATCCTGGAAGAAGAAGGGGCACATCAATACCACCTGCTGAACCCAGGCTCCCAAAGTCCAATGGAAAATGCACATGCTCGCAGATTCCCCCACCTCCTTTCCCATTTCAACTAGGCCATATAACATACCTATATAATAGCTCTGAGAAGGACCTGGAACATCTGAAATTTAGAAGTTCAACAGAGGATTCCATGTACAACTAAGACCAAAGCAACATGGTCCTGTGCTGAACACCTTTATTCAAAAGATTTAAAATCAGTATACTACAGTGACAGAGTCACATCAATGTTAATAGCAGCACAATTCACAATAGCCAAGATATGGAGCCCAACCTAGGTGGCTTTCAACATATGAATGGATAAAGAAAGTGTAGCATGTATACACAACGGAGTATTACACAGCCATGAAGAATAATGATGTTGTGGCATCTGCTAATAAAGGGATGGAACTGGAGACTCTCATGTTAAAAAAAAAATAAGCCAGACCCAAAAGTCAAAGGTTGAATGTTTTCTCTGATATGCAGAAGCTAATCCAAAAGAAGGAGAGGATTAAAAACATAGAAGAAAGATCAGTGGAGTAGATAAAGGTGAATGAAGGGCAGGGTGGAGGGATAGATAGAGAAGGATAGTGGAAATGAATCTGACCTAACTTTTCTATGTATATATGAATATACCATAGTAAATCTCACCATCATGTATATCCACAAGACACTAATTTTAAAAATTTAAAATTAAAAAATTTTAAATGGCAGAAAGATCAGTAAAGTAGAAGGAGGAGAACAGAGGGAGAGAGAAGGAGAGGGAAAGAGGAAATACTGGGGCCTGAAGTAGAACAAATTATATTCCATGCTTTTACAATTATGTCAAAATGAATCCTAACGGGCTGGGGATGTGGCTCAAGCGGTAGCACACTCGCCTGGCATGCGTGCGTCCCGGGTTCAATCCTCAGGACCACATACCAACAAGGATGTTGTGTCCGCCGAGAACTAAAAAATAAATATTAAAAAAATTCTCTCTCTCTCTCTCTCCCTCTCTCCTCTCTCACTCTCTCTTTAAAAAAAAAATGAATCCTAACGTCATATATAACTAAAAAGACTTAATAAAAATAGCAGCAGGCTCTATATCTTGTGCATAATCCCAGTGCCTCCTGATAAAATAAATTGTAGCAAATCAAATTTCTCTCCAAAATATGTTCACCCAGTCCCTCACTCCCTTCCTGCTTGAGAAGACTAAGTCACCATTCATATTGAGGTTGTTGCCGAGTACCTATAACAGACCGAAAAACCTCTTGAAATGTGGTATACTCAGGCGTGTAATCTCCATTCTCTCTCAGCAGTGCCCCATACTCTGAAAAATAAGAAAATTTTATTGTTTTCTCCAAGAAAGCCTCATTGTCATTTTCTTTCTCCAGAAAAAGAGGAGAGGTTGGTACTGAGCAAAAGATCCTTAATTCAGCAGCTTTGGGAGAAAAAAAAAAATAGGGGGCACTAGATAAGAAAACTCCACATCCCTGTTGTTCAAACTAAGAGGCATCTGAAAAGCTTTGCAGGGCTTTCAATAAGAGGCAAAAAAGCCCCAGTCCATGGGTCCCCCACTAAGCCCTGGTTGAGAGCCCAAGGCTCACACCAATAGAGCCTATTGGTTTCTCCTTTTTATCCAATTTCTAAGTGAACTCCTTTGTTTCATTCACCCTTTCTAGGGAAGGTATCTTAGTAGACTTGTGTACTAGGGAAGACACATTAGTGGATACCCAAAGCAACTTGCTCTGGAGGGCACTTTTAAGACAAGGGTCTGTACAACAAATGAAGAAGATTAGGCTACTAACTTCTCTGCTTGCAAAGTCCCTGAGAGCCCAAATCCTCATGGTAGGTAAATTTTAGTACTGCCAAGAAGAAAAAATCCCTAATCCTCCATCCCCAACATGTTTAGGCAAAACAGGCAAACAGTTCCAGAGATTGTCTTTGGGGGCCTAACCTAAGAAGCTTCAGTCTCCAATGTGGGGGTAGTCAATATTGAGGACAATTCTGAGATACAGGTACTTGCCATAGCTGGTGACAACAGGGTAATAACCATTCAAATGTTGAGCTCCACCCATGAAACCAAAGTTGGTGCCACCATGGAACATGTAGAAGTTGAGGGAGAACCTAAGTTTGAGCATTTCACGTACATCCTTAAGAAGCACTGCAGAGAGACAGGAAGAGAAGGTAAAAAGGGGGAATAAATTGAGTTTGAGAGAATTTATAGATCCTCATGGATATTCAAATCACCTAATCCTAAAATGTTCAAGGTCCACCATAATCTCAGACCCAGAAAATGTATGAAATGATTAAGATGCATTCCAATCCATTCAATAAAGGATTCATGGAATTGTTCCCAGATTTGTTTTCATAACCCAAAGTCATTTATTATTTTTTTCCTGAGTTCATGTTTGAGAGGATATTTTTTTTTCTAGCACAAACTGCACATATAAAATATTTAGTGTTGTGCTTTTTTGCCTCAGGTACATAAATGTCCAATTTATTGTTTCTGAAGGTCTTATTTCTAACTGTGATTGGTCTGAAATTATAGCACCTTTGAAATCCATTTTATTTTATTTTGGTAACAGAGTTTGAACTCAGGGGTACTTGATCACTGAGCCACATCCCCAGCCCTATTTTGTAGTTTATTTAGAGACAAGGTCTCACTGAGTTGCTTAGTGACTCGCTTTTGCTGAGGCTAGCTTTGAATTCGCAATCCTCCTGCCTCAGCCTCCCAAGCCACTGGGATTACAGATGTGAGCCACCATACCTGGCTAGCTGAAATCCATTTTAATGATTATCAACAATTCTCCAGAGAGGACAGGTAAATCAAGATCAGATAATCAGAGGCCAGATAACTTCCTTCTTCCATCCAATTCCCCTTCATGCAATTCCCCTACTTGTTAGAACAACTTATTCTAATTACTTTTATAGCCTCAGTAAATATAATTAGAGTGAAAACTGTTAAAACTTACATTTTAATTACAATGATATCTTTCATGTCCATGCTCTGAGGTCATTTACCTTCAGATATCTACTTAATTATGTTGATGTTTATAAAGTTATGACATGTAGGAGTCTTATCTTCTAAATCTCAAATACACTAATTAGAAGAAATAAGCAAACAAATAGGTCGGTGCCACCTGTATCACATGTTCTCCAGAGAAAGGAACTAAGGAATACTCACTATGTCCGTCTGGAATGTGGCGGGCAACACCCCATGAGTCAAAAGAGTTCACTGTGTATACCATCATCATTATAGGACTATGACCCTGAGAAAAGTCAAGAAACAATTTAGAAAATGTTTATACAATTTAGAAGCTCTGAATTGCTAAGAAGGAAATTGTAAAGTCCAGTTCTCACACCTCTTTGCAACTCAGAACAATCTATCACTACTCACAAACTCTGAGTTCTATTCTCCCATTCTCATATCACTGTCCTGTTCTGTTATTCTTCTTGTGATTTCACTGGTCATCTTACTTAAGGTTTAGTAAAATTAATTGCCATTCCAACATAGCTCTTTCTGGAACATTCTAGAAATAGAATCTGTAAACTTCTATAAATAGAGTTTTCTCATTCTCTTCAATGATCACAGTAGAGGTCTAGTAAGGAAATAACTGATACAAAGGAAGCACTGAATGTTCAACAAATGAATACTGAAAATGGTGAATTCCCTTAAAAGAGAATTCCCCATTTGGGGTTTTATGGATATAGCTTAGTGGTAGAGTGCTTGCCTGGCTATTGAGGCCCTGGGTTCAATCCCCAGCACCATGAATGAATGAATGAATGAATGATAATAAGAATTCCCCAAACCTAGTATTCTCAAACATGTAAGTGCTCACTCTTCCCTTTCCATCATGGTGTGCCCTCTAGTTCCTTTATCTTTCCAGTTCCTGGGGATTTGCTAGCCTCTCTATTCTGGCTGCACTCTGTAGTTGACCCTTTGAATTCTGTTCCTTCTAGCACTATGAAGTTAATCTGTGTTTTGAATTTCTGCTGTCATTACTATCACAATCTCCAACTTTGGGACCCTTCAATTGGAACCCTCACATCTGAGCTGCCAATTTGATTTACCACAAATTCATATGGTTTGACCTTATCTTTATTTCTGCCTGGTGGTCTTTATATTTAGATTTTTAAAAAATTTTTTATTAAATTTCAAAATAGTCTCAATATTTTAAGGCTAATTAAACTGAGGCCAAATGGTTCAAGCTCTTGCAACCTCCTCTTAATTTCACAAGATTCCCAAATCATATAATCTTAGCACTTCGTGAACCCCACAAATACTTAAAATCTTTGCCCTAAAGGTGATGGTATTAAGAGGCTGGGCCTTTAGTAAGTGATTTCATGGAAAGGATTAGTGCCCTTATGAAAAGAGGCCTTAGAGAGCTGCCTTGCCTATTCACAGAAAAAGATGCCATATAAGAACCAGGAAATAGCTTTCACAAGATATCAAATCTTCCACCATTCTGAGCTTGGATTTTTCAGCCTCCAGAACTATGAGAAATAAGTTTTTGTTGTTTGTAAGCTTCTCTATTTGTGATATTTTGTTATAGTTCTCCAAGCAGAATGAGACTCATAGTTTTTACATTAGAAAGACTTTTTAAAATTCCAGTTTTTAGTATATTATTTCTCACTTCACTTAGGCATGGTCTTCTCTAAATATTGGACCAAGCTTTGTTATTGTAATGATAAAGAATTCTTTGCTACTTAAGGCAGTTCATTTTATTTTTGGAGCAATCAGATTGTTAGAAATTATAATCCTTAATGAGCTAATATGGGTTTTTCATTAATTTTTGGTGTCATTGAAACTAATTTCGCTCTATGGAACTAAAAAGAATTTCCCTTTCACATATGAAAATAAACTTTTAAGATGCCCATTAAATGAATCTTATCTTTAAAGTGAGACTCATTCCTTGTTCTTTTAGTTTATCTTTACATAACCTCTAAACCATGTCACCTGGAAGTATTCCACTTTATTAAAATGCAACCTAAGACATGATGACCTAAGCAGAAAAAAATACAAAAAAACAAATGCTTCAAATGTGTTCTTAAAGTATGAAGAAATGTGATGATATCATTTCTATCAATAAAACCTAAGTTTTAAGACCTACTGGCAGTAGGTGTCACAGACTTTATTTAGGTGAAACATAACTTCCAAAATATCTTTCATGCAACATAGTGTCAATAACAGATTGTTAAACTGATATCTTCCTTTCTGCATTTGCCCATGAAGATTTTCTGCTTTTATTTTGTTTTGATTTTAATGTAAATATTGTATAACTAACTATTGCCTTTTGGTTTCAGCCTACTGAGATCCAGGAGATCCCACTGTTTTCCAGCACTCTCTCATCTAGACTAGCTCATCTTTTTTCTTTTCTTTTCAGTACTGGGAATTCAACATTGAACCCAGTGCCTCACACATGCTGGACCAATGCTCTACTACTGAGGTATATACTGAGACAAGATCTAAGTTTCCCAAGCTGGACTTGACCTTGTTATCCTCCTGACTAAGCCTTTTGCATAGCTGGGTTTATAGATATGTGCTACCGCGCTTGATATGTTTTGTCCATCTTTTTTTTTTTTTTAAGAGAATATCAATTTGAACAAAGGCAGCAAGAGAACATCCACACACAGTGAACAAACCTAGATATAGCTTCTACACAGCAAGGAATATGTCTGTTTGACCAATATATACCTAGAGCCTAATAAAAAACTGACTCAAAAACGAACAGTCAAAAAAAAGTATTTAATCTAAATTTTTAAATTTAAAACCACTAACAGTATCGAGTTCAAGTTTTTGCTATCCTTTAACTATGTGGGTTCTATCTTGTCTAATTTAGGGAAGAGTCTCTTTAATGGGAAACAGACACAAAAAAGTAGGGGTTAGTCTCTGTGTCCTCTATTCTGTATCATTGGTCTACTGGCCTGTTTTGGTACCAATACCATGCTGTTTTTGTTACTATTGACTGTAGTATAGTTTCAGTTCTGGTATAGTGATGCCACCTGCTTCACTCTTCCTGCTTAGAATTGATTTAGCTATTCTGGGTCTCTTATTTTTCCAGATGAATTTCATGATTGCTTTTTCTATTTCTATGAGGAATGCCATTGGGATTTTGATTGGAATTGCTTTGAATCTGTATAGTGCTTTTGGTAGTATGGTCATTTTGATAACATCAATTCTGCCTATCCAAGAGCAAGGTAGATCCTTCCACCACAAAATTAGAATTATCTTATATTGGACAAAAGTGCCAAAAACATGCACTGGAGAAAAGATAGCCTCTTCAACAAATGGTGCTGGGAAAACTGGAGATCTATATGCAACAAAATGAAATTAAACCCCTATCTCTCATCATGCACAAAACTTAACTCAAAATGGACCAAGGACCTAGGAATTAAACCAGAGACTCTGCATCTAATAGAAGAAAAAGTAGGCCCTAATTTTCATAATGTGGGATTAGGCCCCAACTTCCTTAATAAGACTCCTATAGCACAATAATTAAAACCAAGAATCAATAAATGGGATGGAATCAAACTAAAAAGTTGTTTTCTCAGCAAAAGAAACAATCTGTGAGGTGAACAGAGAGCCTGCATCCTGAGAGCAAATTTTTACCCCTCACACATTAGATAGAGCACTAATCTGTAGGGTATATAAAGAACTCAAAAAGCTAAACACTGAAAAAACAAATAACCCAATCAACAAATGGACTAAGGACCTGAACAGACACTTCTCAGAAAAGGAGATACAATCAATCAACAAATATAGGAAAAAATGCTCATCATCTCTAGCAGTCAGAGAAATGCAAATCAAAACTACTCTAATTTTTCATCTCATTCCAGTCAGAATGGCAGCTATTATGAAGACAAACAACAATAAGTATTGGCAAGGATATGAGGGAAAAGGTATACTCAAACATTGCTGGTTGGACTGCAAATTGGTGCAGCCAATATGGAAAGCAGTATGAGATTCCTTGGAAAACTGGGAATGGAACCACCATTTGATCCAGCTATCCCTCTCCTTGGTCTATACCCAAAGGACTTAAAAACAATATACTACAGGGACACAGCCACATCAATGTTTATAGCAGAACAATTCACAATAGCTAAACTGTGGAGCCAACCTAGATGTCCTTCAGTGGATGAATGGATTAAAAAATGTGGCATATATATATACAATGGAATTTTACTCAGCATTAAAAAAGAACAAAATCATGGCATTTGCAGGTAAATGGATGGCGTTGATAGTAGATAGAAGATAATGCTAAGTGAAGTTAGCCGATCCCAAAAAAACAAATGAGGAATGTTTTCTCTGATATAAGGAGGTTGACTCATAGTGGGGTAGGGAGGGAGAGCATGGGAGGAATAGATGAATTCTAGATAGAGAAGAAGGGTGGGAGGGAAAGGGAGGATGCAGGAGATTAGCAAGGATAGTGGAATGTGATGGACATCATTATACAAAGTACATGTATGAAGATTTGAATTGGGTGTCAACAAACTTTATATACAGAGATACAAAAATTATGGTATATATGTGTATTAAGAATTGTAATGCAAAAAAAACAAAGTGCATGTATAAAAACATAAATTAGCATGAACATACTTTATATACAGAGATATGAAAAATTTTGCCCTATATGTGAAATAAGAATTGTAATCCTTTCCACTGCTGTCGGGTAGTTAAAAAAATAAAAAAAATAATTAAAAAAGTAGGGGGCTCAAAAGCTTTGCTTTTTCCTTATATTGATTTAATAGTACATCTGCCCCTAAAACTGTGTTTTGTATGTTCACTTTTTTAGTCAAGTATAAGAAATGCACTGAAAAAAAGTAACAGTGGACTTTCTATAGCTGTGGGGTATGGACCTGGTAATGTGGGCATGTGATTTTGATTCAGTTGAACCTAAAACCACCTAGAATAGGCATTCTAGGGCACAAATAATTAAACTTTTAACTGAACCAACTCAGTTTTCTGCTGAGAATTTCCCTATCAGTTTGCATCTCTGAAATGTCCTTACCTGAATTGAAGAAAGTTCTTTGTAAGTTCCTTTATGTATATTCTTCATGTGAAGAGTGACCAGCACTGTGGTGGGAAAGGAGAAACAGTGCATAAAGTCTTGCTATGACTTGATTGAGAACCTAGAGTTTGTCACAATCTCTCCACCAAGGTCCCCAAACTGCAGAAGACATACTAACAGAAATAGACTAGAGAACTGGGTTCAGCACCTCCTATGTATACAAGTTTCAGACATTTCATTTGGTGACTAGCAATAAAGATATAACCCACACATGCAATATACAAAGGGCTTTTAAAGAAATCTCTTCACTTAGCATGTATAGAGAATTTAAAGTAACAAGTGCAATTTAAATAAACCACCATGTGATGCTGATGAATAGACAGGCTGAATGAAAAAATTTATCTCAGAGAGATGAATCACCTAACACCCAAAACTTGACTCTAGGACACTTAACCTCTTTTGGGGACTGGAGGAGGTGCTTGGGATTGAGCCAAAGGCCTTGCTAATATTAAGTATGTACTCTATCACATAGGGGCACACGCTTATACTTTTTTTTTTTTAAGAGAGAGTGAGAGAGGAGAGAGAGAGAGAGAGAGAGAATTTTTTTTTAATATTTATGTTTTAGTTCTCAGCGGACACAACATCTTTGTTGGTATGTGGTGCTGAGGATCGAACCCGGGCCGCACACATGCCAGGCAAGCGCGCTACCACTTGAGCCACATCCCCAGCCCTTATACTTTTTTTTCATCTCCATTTGTGTGTTACTTTTATGCATTGTCCTGCATATCAACCTGTGTTTGCTCCTTGTAATTTATATCCCTCCCAACACTTTTTTTTTCTGGCTGTGTTAGGGATTAAGCCCAGGACACTGCACATGCTAGGCAAGCACTCTATTGCTCAGCTACATCTACAGCACCCCCACTGCTTTATTTTATAAATTTATTTACTCTACCAGCTCCCAAGGCCAGGTTCATAGCATTGCTATTTTTGATATTCATCTGCTCCTTGTTTCTCAATTAAGAATGATTTGACAGCATTGAAAATAACCTTTACTCTGATCCCAGGCAGAACCCCTTCTGGACTACCAAGGGATTGAGGAAGATGAAGTAAGTGTTCTGTGTTATGCTGCTCTGGGGGTAACAACTGGTAGAACAGGAAGATAGGGCCTGGCTTCCTATTATAGTTTAGATAAGAGGTATTCCCCCCGAAGCTCTTGTGTTAATGCAGAAATATAGGTAAAATGATTGGATTATGAGATGTAACCTAATCAGTCCATCTTAGTTTGAATGGACTGACTGGGTGGCAGCTGTAGGCAGGTGGGGCATGGTTGGAGGAGGTGGATCACTAAGGGCTCTCCTGGAAGGGTTCATCTTCTTTGAGGGTATTTCCTCTTTCTGTCTTTGCCTCCCAGCTGCCATGAGTAGAGCATTGCTTCTTCTACCATGATATCCATCATGTCCTGCCTTATCTTGGGCCCAGAGCAATGAAATCAGCCAACCATGGACTGAATGTCTGAAACTGTGAGCCCCAAAGAAGCTTTTCCTTCTCTAAGGTTGTCAGTTTTTTTTGGTCACAGCAGCAAAAAGCTGATTAACATGCTAACTCAGCTTTGACCTCAATTTCCCACCATTTTCACCTAAAGACCATGAGACTTCCTCATAGGAGATGGAAATGATGAAGCACCAGAAGGACTCTTGCTCTTTCAGAACTGTCTACTGGAAAACACAAGGTGAAACCAAAACTGTACCATTTTTTATACGGCCTTTTCCCAGCACTCGTCCACTATCAGCAGTCATGAGAAGCACCTCGACCTTTCTTTTCTCCAGGGCCTAGGAATAAATTCAGAAAGACAAACAGACTTTTCCTGGGTCCATGGGATTGTTTCTTTTATAGAAAAAAAAATACTAGAATGAGGCTGAAACATGGAAAAGAAAGTCTAATTCTTCAACCAACTTCTTATAAGTTAGAAATTTAAAACAGAAATATAGTCTCTGCCTCAGTCACACTCAGCAAAGTCAAAGTGACAACTATAAGTTCATAGAAGAGGCAGTGGAATTATTTACATTCACGTAATACAGTGCTTTCTCTAAGGACTTAAATTCTGGATTTTCTCAGTATGTCAGAGCTTAAGATAAACATTCTTGTCCTCACTGTCATCCAAATTAACCATGTGTCATGGGCCAAATTCACACGTGCCTCTGCTATTTTCCTTCCGTCAATGGGCAAAGACAATAAGTTGTTGCTAAATCCATCCATAGTCACTTTGCTGCTTCAGCCCTTAATGTTCCTACATTAACTAGAAACAGTGCTAGGGAGATTCTAAATCAAAGACAGCAAGAAACAAGGGATTTATCTAATTCAGGGGTAAAAAACTAAGACTGTGGCCATGGATACTAAGAAAAGCCAAAGGTGTGTTTTGTCTTTTGGACCAAAACATCCCGAAAGAGAAAATATTCTTGAAATTTACCCTTAAACCTTTTACTGGGTACTGTGAATTTGTGTGTATCTACTGGACTCCTTTGAAAAATAGGTGAGGCAAAGAAGTGACTCATGTGAGAAGAGACAGTATGTCATCTATCAGTTACTGTTATCCTACTCCATCTTCTGTAGATACTATGAGAATGCAGTACTTCATCTCTAGCCCTAGTGAGCAACATGGCTTACTGGCAGATGACCATATAACATATTGAAACTAGAAAATGTGATACTGAAAGGTGATAGCAATTATTCTAGCATCCTGTGGATGTCCTGGACAAAACCAAGAGACATGATTCATAACTCATAGGGATAGAAACAGATTCTACATCTATATCCAATGAACCTTCCTTCTAATAACAACTGGACAAGCTGGACAAGATATTTTCTAAAGACTTATTTGGAGATACTACATAGATATGTAAGGTAGAATATGAGAAGCCCAGATCCTGGAGAGAAAGGAAGCTAGTGTTTGGTATTGCTTTTCCCATGAGATAGTAGCTCATTCCTAAAGTTTCAGTTGAGAGTCTGAGAAATTTAGAAGGGTTGCCAGCAGTATAGTATTATAAGACTTGGAGAAAGAAACTGCAGTTTGGAGACTACCCCACAGTAGAGGAACCACAAAAAATCCTAGGCTTCCTGCCAAGACCAGAAGAGCAACCCCCTAAAAAAAGGGTGAACAAGAATTTCATTTCACAAGGGTATCTTAGTTTGAAATCATTGCAAATACCTGCCAGAAGCAAAAATGAATCAATCTCGGGGATGACAAAAGGCCTCAAATGATCTCATAAGCTAATGTCTGATATTGAATAAAAAAGTGACTAGGTTGAAACCATAAGAAAAATTACAAAGGAAACAGGTACTTATGAGATTTGATCTTAGATTAATTATTAGACATAAGTTTTGAAATAGATGTCATTAATGTGTTCACGGAATTAAAAGAAAAAATGAGAAGTCTTGGCAAAGAAACAGAAATAATAAATAATCAAACAAAATCAGAAAATCATACCTTTATTGGTTGGTGCTTTGTGATACTAAAGGACCAAACATGATTGGTCCTTTTACTGGGTTCCTTATACTGCTTGGGCAGATAAACAAGTTTGTACTAGATAAGGTCTTTCAAGAAAATTTTATCTAATATACATAGTGATCTAAGACATATACATTCAGGGAACTAGGTGATTAACATGATCCTGCCTGGTACAAGAGAGATTTGATTTAATAAACACTGATTTTCTCTTTGTAAATAGAGACAATATCCCCTCTACTGGGAATCCAAAGATAATGTAGGCCTCAGGCTTATGTGCATATTTTAAAGTCATCAAGCATTCTTCAACTACAGTCAGGTTATCCCAAGGAAGATGCTTCAGTTTGAGAAAGAAGAAAAAGAAATTTAAAACGTCTCTTTTTCCTCTTCTTATTATCTAGAAAATATAAATATATTTATGTTTTATAGTACTATTCTATAATTTATATTGGTTAGATACAGTGTAATTTTTACTATTGAGGCAAGACAAAGAGTTAAAACAGGCGGATAGGAAACTTGGGTCCCTCCAAGATCAAGTGTCTGTGTAGCAGTGCTGAGAAACTACAGACATAAAAATTCAGGTCTAATCAAGATCAGGCAAATTCCTGTATAAGCAGGAAAACTGTTAGTGAGATTATAGCTTGCTTAGTGCATGGATCCCATCCAAAAAAAAAAAAAGGCATGGTAATGTGATTGGATGAAAGGATGTGTGAAGAGCTTTTGGACACGGAGTTCCTTACCCAAGATTGGGTCATGACTAGCTTCTTTCACCCTGTAGATTCACATAAATCCCTAGAAAATAGACACCCATCAGCAACTCTTTCTTGGGACCAATCCTCCTTTGGGAATTCTGCTTTTTTGTTATTGTTGTTGTTGTTCCTGGGGATTGAACCCAGGGTTGCTTAACCACTGAACCAGTATCCAGCCCTTTTTAATATTTTATTTAGAAACAGAATCTCACTAAGTTTCTTAGGGCCTCGCTAAGTTGCTGAGGCTAGCTTTGAACTCGCAATCCTCCTACCTCAGCCTCTTGAAGCACTGGGATTATAGGCGTGCGCCACTGCACATGGCTCTGCTACCTTTCTATTGCTTTTATGATTCCTGTTATTTTGCTCTCACCCTTGTGTCCATGGATCTCATTCTTCAAATTCATGAGACAAAAAACCCACCCAGTCCTGCTCGGTGCTGCATCTTCTGGGGACTCCTCCAGGATCTATGGAAGAGTGAGTAAAATGGACCAATGATTCACTGCCTTTTCTGGTAGCCCTAAGCTCCATTCAAATGTTTAGTCCTCTTGCTCTGAAATTATGGCATCTGTCAGTCACTTAAGCTTCTTCATAGCAAAGGAAACAATCAAGAATGTAAAGAGAGAAAGCCTACAGAATGGGAGAAAATCTTTGCCACCTGCACCTCAGATACATCATTAATCTCCAGGATATATAAAGAACTCAAAAAACTCAACACCCAAAACCAAATAACCCAATCAATAAATGGGCAAAGGAACTGAACAGGCACTTCACAGAAGAATTATGACAGGTCAACAAATATTCAGAAAAATGTTCAACATCTCTAGCAGTTAGATAAATGCAAATTAAAACTATCACGAGATTTCATCTCACTTCAGTCAGAATGGCAATCATCAAGAATACAAGCAACATGGGGCTGGGGTTGTGGCTCAGTGGCAGAGTGCTTGCCTAGCACATGTGAGGCACTGGGTTCTATTCTTAGCACCACATAAAAATAAACAAATAAAATAAAGGCATGCTGTCCATCTACAACTACCAAATTTTAAAGAAAAAATACAAGCAACAATAAATGTTGGCAGGATATGGAGGGGAAAGGTACACTCATACATCGCTGTGGGACTGCATATCGGTGCAAACACTATGAAAAGCAGTATGGAGATTCCTAAGAAAACTTGGAAAGGAACCACCATTTGACCCAGTTATCCTACTCCTCAGTTTATACAATCAGCATACTAGTGATGCTATCACATCAATGTTTACAGCAGCTCAGTTCACAAGAATTAAACTATGGAATCAGCCTATCAGCCCTTCAACAGATGAATAGATAAAGAAAATGTGGTACATTTACACTCTGCCATAAAGAGAAATGAAACTATGGCATTTGCCAATAAATGAACAGAACTGGAGACCAATCCCAAACAATCAATGTTTTCCCTGATATGAAGATGCTAAATCACAATAAGTGGAGGCAGGGATAGGGAAGATTAGAAGTACTTTGGATTAGACAAAGGGGAATGAAGGGAGGGGAGGGGGAATGGGAATAGGAAAGATGGTAGAATGAGTCAGACATTACTTTCCTGTGTGTATTAATCAATTCACGACCAATGTAATTCCACATCATGTACAACCAGAAGAATGGGAAGTTATACTCCTTACATGTATAATATATCAAAATACATTCTACTGAATATATAACTAGTAAGAACAAATTTTAAAAACAATGTTAAAAAAAATAAAGTGAATAGCCATTCTATAAGATTCAGATAACAGGCTTCTTGGGCCATCAGGGCCAATCCCCCTTTCCTAGGCATTGTAGATGTTAGTCCTGATTTGCTTTGGTTTCCTTTCTGTGGGAGAGAATTTGTGAGTGGGACAGAGAAAGCTTGAGATAACTGAAGGCAAAAGACTGGGGCGACTCCCCCGGTGCTTCACAAAGGTTTGATATCCTGAGCCTGACCCTGGCAGCTCTCAGGAGTACCAAATGTCAACCACTATCTGTCTTTCTGTCCCTTGCTTCTAGCTTCTGACTTACTTGGCCTGATGGCAGAGGGAACCCTCACCTGATGTCTCTTGGATCCTGAAACAAAGTCTTGGTCTGATCCAAGGTCTTTGGGAAAGAGGTGACAAGAGCATGAGCCAAACAGTCTCTCTCCTATGTGAGAAAAATGTCTCTTCCCTATGTGTGCCTTGGAGTGTAGGTTATTTCCAACTACTCTATATGTCCTGCTTACCCTCAATTCTTTCACCTTCTATCAAGTACCTGAATAAAATCTCTAGGAACCTCCAGGCTTTTGACCACTTTCTGAAACCCAAATCATAAGCCTGTTCCTGGTGTCCACCTCTTAAAAAGGAACCTGTTAGGGAGATTATCAAGATAGAGCTCCCCTGGATTCAAAATTAGACTGTCTTCTCTGGGATTCCACAAAACATCTTTTCCTTTGTTCCCCCTCATCCTGTTAGGATCTAAATTAATCAATACAAGCAATACATTATAGATTAGAATTATAAAATATAGATTAATGAAATAGGAAAGGCAATAGGATTATAAGATAAGTGTTATAGAATTAGTAATGTTAAGTTA